ATATTTTACCTTCGCTTTACTCTTTACCTTTAGGCTACAGTCCCGATTATCTAACACAACACCTTGCAATTGTTTACGCCAAATAATTTTACTGCGAACTATTTTTTTTATAAAACAGGTTAAAAGTTTAAATGTTTGCTGAAGATCTTACATTTCATGTATTCAAAAACCTGATATAATTAAAGCCATTAATCGTGTCACATATTTCTTCGGCTTCGTCTTTTCTAGCTAGACAATACGTGGGATATACTACTCGCCAAATATATATAACAATATAAATGTTTTAATTCTTTGTTTTTAGTAGATCGAGCATGAGGCAGCTACACTCTGCACATACATTTGTTCCTAGAATTAATAAACTTTTAGTTTATAAAATTTTCGGCATGTATATTCTGCCCTTGTGCACTTTTGCTATAAATACCGACCGTGCGACAGAAATTGGAATTGAATTGAATATATTAATACTACGATATGTGTTTTATTTATTACGCACACTGCTTCTATTCTATATCACAATAAATATATTACTTACGATTTGAAGGAGACTGATCGTCAAAATCTTTCGGACCTGTGAACTTTTCGGTATTTTAAGCCGCATCTTGAATTTTGAGTATAGCTGTATACTGAAACGCCTGAAGGAAATTGAATTTCATTATTCGTCTGCGATCATTATTCTATGTCGTCAACGACAGATGTTTTCAGCCTTATTCAAGAGAACACTCATAGTGCTTGGCTGCAGACGTGACTAAAAACGTGCTTAATTGTAGGAACTGGGTATATGTAGTAGGGCAACCAGCCCACAACTTGGCTTTCTATATATATACGCAGACAAAAAGTTAAGGAACTATTATTAAAGACTATATAAAAATTCAGGAGGCCATCGTCTCCAAAGAGACTATTATTTACACGTGGGAATTTTTGTTGCAATTTGCAATACAATTTCGTGTCAGAGCCATGGTCCAAGTCAGTCAAAGAGAAAATTTTCCTTGACAAAGTTTTATTTGCTCATGTCATGCACGCGGCAGAAAATTGACAATTTTTCCTTGCCAATTAAGGACCCTTGTTTCAAATAGTCATGTCAGCTTTCGGACAAGGAAAATTTGCTCGTGGCCTTATAGTCATGCATGGTTTTGGCAAACAAAGGCGGCCCAAAACTTGTCAAGAGAAACGAATTGTCGATGGGAAAACTTGTTGACCGTGCCGACATGCACAAGAATTAAGGTAAACTTATCAAGGAAACTTCTCAACGAAAACTTGTTCGTCTGTACGCGGTTTGAATGATTTGACAAAATAAAAGAAATATGATGAAAACTATTATGAAAACCTTGGGTTATGCTCAGAATTTTCCTGCGGCAGTTTTGTAGAAATGTTTCTTATATATCAATGACAATGATATTGATTAGTTTTCCAACATTTGGAGTTGCGCCGACTGTCCGTCCAAATTGCGCGTTCCATGTTGGCATATTTTAAATCTTCCTGATGCAGTCTCAGCTACTGCTGCAAAACGTTTTGACCCAAAGGCCAACTCTGATGCACACACACTGTGACTGAAAATATTGCAGTAGAATTACTTAAATTGTGAATTTGAAAAAGTGAATTTGAAACTTTACCTGCATGTATAAGTTTGCTCATATAAATTTAATTGAGTAATTTTAATTAAAAATTTACAGTCACTGTGTAGGTGCATTATTTTACTCAAAACAGTTCTTGAGTCAAAATACTCAACTAATTCAACTGCAATTTTATCCTTGCAGAACGCGTCACGTCTGGCAGGCTGTCGACACTTTGAACTGCATGCATCACCCGCGGCGTTACTGAGAAAGGTCATTATTCGCCTACTGCGTTAATAGCCTTTTCACTAGATTGCTCATGCATTTATGGTGAAATTGTGCTAAATGCAGGTGCAACAAATAACGTAGAAATAAATATCGAGAACGAGGGCTGCATGCCATATATATTAGCACCGATGTTCGAAGATGTTTATGGGTGAGAAGGTCTCACCAACATGGTAGTTTGCCTATGTCGATTCGATCATCCGGCTTGGATTCTTGGAGAAGATTTTGCTAGATTTCTTCATTTCTTATTTTAGGGCTTGTATATACATATACATATACACTGCCCACGCGGATAGCGGTACATCAAAGAAAACCGACTTTACTATAAAATAAAAACAAATATAAAACATGCAGGTTTTGATCATTGTGATCAAAAGTTGTTTTCTGTGTCAGTGCATGTAAACAACCTTCGATCAAAAATTTGCCTCTCTTCAGGTTGAATATGATATAACTTCACGTTGATCATATACACGCGTAAAATTGAGAAAATCAACAACTTGTTGCAAGTTGATATCGACAGGCGTGAACAAGGTTGTGCGGCCCACTATGAACAGTATTGTCAACATGTTGTTACAGCATTGTTCAACTGTATAACAACTTGGAACAACATGTGAAACATGCATGGTTGACAACTTGTTCATAGTTGGCCGCACAACATTGTTCACGCCTGTCGATATATCAACTTGTAACAACATGTGCGTTTTTAGCCGTGTAGATAGTCCACCACCTCGATCATTGGGCCGTTTCGGTATGAAGGCCTGATAGCGCTAAACATCGGATTTTTTCAACTTCCGTAAAACTGATGCCTAAAAGCTGTGAAACCACAGATATAGATAATAGAGGCTAGAGCTTACAATAAGTGAATAACTCTCGCAATAAATATAAAAAGTCTTTCATTTTACTTAGTAAGTTTGAATCTTGGTTCTTGGTTATACCGATTCGGCGGTCAATTTTAGAAAGGTTGAAAGGGTCATTGGACATTGACGACTGGCCGGTGAATATATATATAACGCTGATCCATTGACCATGCATCATTCGTATATCCGATCCGGCGATTCATGCATGAATTGATGCACTTATTAACCGCATTCAACTACATTGCTATATTTTTTGTCTCATTTTATCGTCTTGACTCGCATACAATAGTACAATATTACGTAAAAGAAAAACTATATAATCCGATTAAATAAAACATGAGTTAAACTAATGCTATACAATTCACAGTTAGTGCCAGTGGCCGTTTCGATTATGTTTTAAATTGGTCCGCATTGAGCGTCAGCATTCTCCGCTTGAAGAGTAAAATCATCTGCCAATTAGACATGCGGAATAAAATAACAAAATAGAGCGCAATGGAACATGCATGGGTTATAGTCAATTCCAACAAAGATTCAATTAAAGTTATGAACTGATACTGCATGTATAGCCATATATATATATATATATATATATATATATATATATATATATATATATATATATATATATATATATATATATATATATATATATATATATATATATATATATATATATATATATACTGATGCTCTTCTAAAATATATTAATTACTCGGAGCCATGCAGTGTTCGACATTGCTTTCAGTATTTTATGAGTATGTCTGAACAAGAAATAAGTGAACATACCTGTTACAACTTGTGCGGTAAAGTCAAAGATAATAATAATTATACGGTTGTTAAAGTTGACAAAAGACTTTGCCTTGTTGAAAATTTTTTGACAAACTTATATATATATGCCAGTAATAGTACTGTAGATTGTTGTTTAGTCAAACTTCAGTAAAAACCGCTTGAAATTAGTGTCAGTCGATGACACTCGGATGTTCTTTTCTCATAAAAAGCGAATGTTCTATTCACTTCACTATTCACTATTCAGTTTTGAATATTGTGATATTGTGCATGTAACAGTTTATTTTCAAAATTATACACGTCTTTAAATTCACAATATCTAAAGATAAAAGACATATGTCAAATTTTCTAAGTACTTATGCCGGGGTTAAATTTTTTTTTATCAAATTATCAAAGACAAAGGTGGAAATTTACCCGACTTGGACTGTTCATGAATATAGCTTTGCTTCCTGGTTTTATGGATCATTTTTATAACATGTATACTTTATATGCCTTGGGTAAACTTAAGTCTAAAACATTGGACAAAAGTGTGTCGTCCAACTGTCAATGTTCAATTATTATATTGGACTCTTTCCACCTGTCTGTCATCAGTCATCTCCTGATAGCGGAAATGATAGGGGCGTAGTGGAGAAAATAATTTCGCTCCTTCCCAGTGAACTTTTATAGTGACCGAGTAAAAATGGCCCTGGTCCCTGACCTGTGAAATGAATATAACTGGAACGCTACCTTCAGATAAACTGCCTACCAACCTGATCGGTTTCCGAAATGAGTGAATCAGCGAAAGTGAATACTCATAGTGAATACCCGTGCTCTTCGCATGCGTGAAAAGACTGGTACTGGCCTTCAAGTTTGGTTGGAGGTTGTTGGTTGTTGGAGGCCTGAGCCTTGAGATAGGGATGCAACTACCAGAAAAACATCCTCGTCCCCAGGACGCCAGGGCCACGTTCGTTGAACTCGCTCAGTGAGCGAGAATGAACGAGAGCAACGAGCGTGGCCCTGGGGACGAGGATGCCAGAAAAATACAATGAGAACCAATCTCGTTCCCCGAGCCTGCGATCCTCGGGAAGGAATCGAAGGCTCTGGGCTCTGGGATAATCGGTTACCGGAAGCCAAGAATCCTGGCTAAGATTGAACTACGCATTCCATTTCAATGGCCAATCAGATTCCTGAAACGGATTATCCCAGAGCCTCGCGTTCCTTCCCGAGGATCGCAGGCTCGGGGAACGAGATTGAATGAGAACCTCAACCTCGTACACAGCGGTTGTGAGAACCTCTGAACGTTTCTCCAGATATCTCTAAACTGGAGTATCATGGGCCGGCACCCGGCAACAATTTGGAATTTAGACCCCACCACATTTACGAGCTATTAATAAATCCAGTAATTATTCTGTTATGCATATTTTTTTTGTGATAATATTGTCTCTGTGAATTCTTTGCCACCTCTGCGATAATTTTTACGTCTAGGCGTTGAACTTACGAATCGGGTGCTTCCCACGTGACAACTCCCGCCTTCCGGCCTTCGATTCAAAATTTCGAAAGTTCGATCGAAGAACGAACCGTTGAGCTACAAAATAGAATTCGAGATATTTTATGCATTTCTGTTCTAACTCCTAAACTCTCAACTTTCCTCTCAAAAAAAATGGATCCGTTTACAGAGGTAAAGTAAAACATTCATACTATCTTGACTTATGATCTTTTCAAAATGTTTTGGTGGAGATTTTGTCGAATATAGTTGCATTCGAAATATGGCCGTTTGTCTAGTTTGTTTATGTTGTAGATTGTTGTTATTAATTTGTTTGTAAAGATGTGCACATTTGGCTTTGTTACTCTTGTATTTAGCTTTGATCCAGCTAATTGCCATTTGTGTTTATTCTAAAGCGATAGCCTTCAATTTTGTGGAGGAATAATATCATTTTGTAAAATGACGTTATTTCAAATTTTCAATACAGTGTTAAAATTTAAAAGCCGTCTGTTGGCTGTGTATTTTGTTTCTGTTGATATATTAAAGCAGTGGTATCTATGTTGTTTTCAAACCATAATACAGATAGTAAATGAGGCTCGTGAAATGATACTTACACAATATGACACAAAAAATACATGTATATAAACAGAACTGTGATTTTATAATGTCGAAAAATTGGTACCAGTATAGCAATAGGTAGCGACTATAACAAGAACTTCAACGTTTTGAGCGAAAACCCTTTGTTGGGATGTTTGGCTACTAACTTCCCAATGAATGGCTTTTGCTCAAGATGTTGGAGTTCTGCTTTATAATTGTTTCAAGGAGTTTGTCTCTTTCAATGCACAGCTGTCCTGTGATTTTATAGTCGTTTATACGGTGCATATTCAAAAATTTGATACAAATTCCAAAGATTCCATTGCACTCCCACAAGTCGTCATAACAACATTTACAGGTTCACAGTCCTTAACCCTAGTCATGCCTATATCAACTGATTCAGGGATGCTAATGTACCTGTCAATGTAACCTGCGATCACGGTCTATTTTACAAATAATAGCCTGACACAATCCTTAATCCGATCGCTTTCCACCCACAGCAAAGTTTATATTTAGTATCCAATCAAAATGTCGCAGGAGAAATTTAAATTTCACACAACGATAACAACAATCTAATTATAGTTGTGATCACTATAAATATATCAACGACAATATATAATGTAATTAGCACCAACCAATCAAATGACAGATTAAAAAATCTTTTGTCTCATAAACCAATCAGATTTACAACCGAAATACGGTTGTAAAAACATGGACTTTTGTTAAGATTTGTATCAGGCCTATTTATTTATTTATAGGCCTGATCGCAGGTTACTGTCAATGTGAATCTGGGGGGGGGGGGGAAATCATATGTAAAATCAGAATGAAATATTTGTAATAGTATCATTTTAAACTTGTTTCTCAGGGCCTCCTAAATTGGCAAATGTCTGGTTGCCAGATGAAAAATTTGGTTACATTTGGTGACTTGGAACCCAACCCTTGTGAAGGTTTGACAAATATTCTAAGTGATAACTGCTGTTAATACTTCTTTTTATAGAAACTGTTAGCTAGGACCCAGGCCAGGAAAGCAGCTTTGGCGAAGAAACGCGAGGAGGTTGCAAGTCGAAGCCCTGTTGTCACCCCGCGTCGTCCATTAGCAGAAAACAACCCTAAACCTCTTGGTTCAACTCCTGTTAGAATTGGAACTACCAACACTAGCACCCCTGTTAAACCATCAGCTGGTACACCCGTTGTTGTCAAGTCAACTGAACATGTTGCAGGGACTACGAAAAGCGTTTTCTATGAGAAGTTTGCAAAGCAAGCGAGTCTTCAGCAGAAAGAATGTTTCATTGAGTTAGGTGAGGCTAAGAATGCATTGAAGCCCACCCCTAAGAAGAGGGAACTGTTACAGAACGGTGACAAGGGTGTAGCACACTATGACATTGTTGGGTCAGATGAACCAACATTGAAGAAAGTTGTAAAGGATGACACTGTAAACACTGACAGTCCTTCTGTGAAGGTTTGTATTCTTTGTAAATTGATAATTAGTGATGTGCCAATTAATCATTTTGGAGTAATGAGGAAGGAAAAATTTAACCCAATGGCAATGCAACATGTATGCAAGACTGATAATATTAGCAGCAAAACAATAATCAGCTGCCAATAATTGGTATAATCTGATTATTTGGTATAATAGGAATTGGCCTTCAAATAATAGGCCTGAGTAATTGGCATTTTTTGTGATTGGCTCATTTTTATTAATATGGTAATAATGTTCACTTGATAGCTAATTTTTTTAGCATCCCTAATCTTATAGGACAGAAAGGCATTGTACATGAAACAGGTCCAAGATGATACAAATATTGCCTCTGTTAAAGTAGTTGCTAATCAAGCTGAGCTGAAGACACTGCAGGTTTGTCTATGCTAGATTTTTAATAGATCATAGTAAAAGAGAGAGATTGCACAGAGACAGATAAGACTAAGAGAAAGAGAGATTACTGCAGGTTTGCCTATGCTACAGTAGATTTTTAATAGATTTTTGATTATCTAATTCTAATCGAATTTTCATTGGCAGTAATGTCAAACTCGCACCTGAACTCACAATACATATTGCAAACTGGAAAATCAGTCAAGTCCTCCACCATTTGATCTTCGTTTCTCAAAATCAAAACAATGCCAATTTGTTGGACAGAATTGCTTTCCATGGTTCAACAAATCAAAATTGTTTGTATCTGGAGGTCTGAACCATCTGAAATTACTGAAAATGATTAACCAGGGCGTGACAGGGCGTCGATCTTTTTTATTAAATGCTCCGCGTTTACGAACGTTTTTGGCAATTGGCATTGTTATTGATAAACAATCAATATGGTTCATACGTAACTATGATCGTGGTTGCTTCCCTTTGTTAGTACCTGGCTAATTTCATCTTAATACTCATTAAAAAGGTTAAACCAATTGAACCCGAGAAAATTTTCCCATCCGCAAAGGAACCTCGATCTAATCTTACCGGTCGGCGATTCTTCAACGACCCTCGCAACAACACGTGTGAGGACCCTCCAAAACCCGCAACGAAGGCGACACCCGCAACCAAAGTAATACCCGCAAAGCCACCACGTGTTACAGTCACGGCCAAGGTCATCAACCCAAAACAGCCTGTGGCCCCAGAACGAAAGAAATCCGAGGGTACCCCGACTAAACCTCCACGTGCTGGTCAAAATGTTCCGCCTTCCAAACCGCCAAGAGTCCAGAACTCTTTGTCCATGAATAATGCTGAGAGTGACACTAAAGTGAAGCAGTCCAGTGTCTGCATAAGTCTTAAACGGCCGGCTCCCGTTCCACCAAGCGAAGATATGACAGGTATTAAGTTATATGACACTCTTGCATGATACTTCATTTTATGCAACTTGGGCCGCAACATGACGTCACTACACATGTGCTATTGGGCGGCATCTTGGTTCGTTTCTAAAGGCCGTTTTCCATTAACGTTCGCTTTGCCAGCGCGGGCGAAGCGTTCATTGTTTTTGACGACCGTCACGCCCGTGTGAACAGATTTTCAAAGCCCGCTCCGCCCGCGCGGACAAAGCGACTGCAATGGAAAATTGCCTTAAGGCGCCGTTTACATGATCGCGCGGTTAGCCAGGACAGGGTGGAAGGCGTGATGATTTTGATGTACATATTGAAACAGTAAATCACTACTACACTTAAACGAAAGTTCAAACAACGCCGGTAAATAGAACTCGAATGTTATTAATAACATCTCGTATAGTTCAAGAAGATTATTATTACTGCTTGAACAACCTTTCGTTCACAATATTATACTATAATCTATCAGCATCGTGACTTATTTCAATACATTATGTAAACAGCCCCTTAAGTTTAATTTTTACTAATTTAACAGCATGAAAACAGTTTGAAAACGAAAATCTTAAAGCTTGTGGGGTTTTTTTCAAAAAAGTTAAGTTTGCCAGAATTGTCAATTAATTTTGCAAGGTAATAAAATCTTCCTGCGAAATGCGAATACAACTTTCCGGCTGGCTTCAACGGTTTTTATGCGATTCTTTATGTATAACCAAAATATTGCCTGACAGTTTTAACTGCCCAGTTTCAACCCCCATTTATAATATAGGTGAAGCTAAGGGATCTGTCCAAAAAGCATCGAAACGTTGCGAAAGTGAAGCGGAAAGTAACATTCCCGCTAAGAAATCAACGCTTGAGAGAAACAAAGATGCAAAAACCGCTTTGGCTTGTACAACAACAGAGACGGTATCAAGCCCAAGAAAAGGTTTACTTGCACCTCCAGCTCAAAGTCCTGCGCAACAGCAGTGCAACAATGGCGTAACAACAGTAAATGAAAGCACGCCAACTCACGACGGACCGAAGGAAGATTTCAAACGTTCGTTAAAATCACAAAAGATTTCCGCCATAAGTTTGAATGATATGGACACGTCGTTGAATTCTCATGAAATAACGTTTAATATATCCATGACGGAATTTGATGACGCCCTGGAGGAGGAAAAGAAAGCCATGTTTCAAATGACTTATGATGAAAGTATCAAGAATGCCGAGAAAGTGCAGGTATAGGAACCAGTTTGTTTAGTTGCCATTTCAAGGAAATTTTTATAGCACAGCCATGTAATTTGGGCACATCCCAATGGGGGGACACTTTGGGGGATTTAGGTTGCCATCATATGACCACCTTTTGTTGCTGGAAATCTTAGTTTTTAAACTTTTTGCTTTAAATTTCATGCAATATATAGTTTAATCTATATAGCCTACCTTGCTTTAAATTCATGGTCACAGCTTCGTCACCGCACAGTTATTCAGCTATCAATCAAAGCCCCCCCCCCCCGTCAAACTTTTTAAAAAGGAAACTCAAAACACTATTTTTTAGGCTACTTTGAATTTTTCCTTATAGGAAAATAAAGAGTCGTGTGATATCCACAATGATTATGACATGACTGCTCCTGTCCAAGCAACATTCAAAGGAGTTCATAAATCAGGGTATCACAGTTCATACAGTGATCAATATGCAGCCGTTGTGACACCAAAGAAAGTTAGTTCTACAAAGACAAGAAACTTCACAGTCCACGAAACAATCCAGGTAATCTATGAAATACATTTCATAGGACATAGGGTACGTTTACACCTTGTGATTTGTTGTATAAACAATACTATTCTCATTTTGGTATATGAAAATTGCTACTGACGTCACAATTCCTCTTCATTTAGAACTTTTTATGACGAAATTTGAAATGCAGGGCGCTTGCATATATAAGAACCCTGTTGAAATGCAACAACTTTACGCGCGCTTATTCGATTACATATTCTGGTTGATGATGATGTTGTTGTTGTTGTTGTTTGTCGTTGCTGTAGTTGTTGTTGTAAACAGTTGCTATAACTGTCTTTGCTTTTCGGGTTCATGTTGATGTTGTAGCTTTGTCGTTGTCTTGGATAATTATAACAGAAATATTGCTCTAAAGACACACAGTACTAGAAATTAAATCCACTGTAAGGTTCTTTAATAGTATTCCAGTTTGTGCTGTTTTCTAAATTGTATAGAAACTATAAAGTCGTTGTTTCATATACATGCATGCATATTGTACCTTACCATCTGGGCAAGTTTCCTGCCGCTTACTCATGCAGGATAAACTATATCTGGTAAGGTGAGATAAATTCCCAAGTTAATCCCAGATTCACAATTTCCAAGTTGTGATGTCTGTTTCATGCCTTGGGAACATTAATTTTGCAATATAGTTATGCACGGGGTAAAAATTACATCGGATAGTTGATATTAGCCAACATTCCTTTATTATTAACTATCTCTAAGGTGAAATTGTTGCTCATGTTGTTGTTTTCCGTCGAGCAAGCTCATTGCCAATTGATTTAAAATCATGTTTAGATGTTACTTGAAGAAGCAGCGTATCAACAAAATATAGTCCTACAAGCCAGTCAGGCTGTCAACATGTGCTTGGCTCTACATGAAGGAATGAGTACAGGATCTTCTGAAGAAGTCGAAGCCGAGAGATTGTTGAGATTTTCAAGTATGTATATGCATAGGAAGCAGACGGATCAGGACGGGCAATATAACTATCCGGGCAATACGTCAAATTGCATGCTTGTGTAATTTGTTGCTTTGAGCTTATCTCTTTCATGATTATACATGTAGACACACGATTATATATCGTATTTGATTCCAGCTGAACGGCGCACTGCTTGTTTGGATCAAGTACAAAAATTGAAAACTGCAGATGAAGATGATACAGTGTCAATGAAGAGTGAAGATATGGAGGATGATCTACCTTGCAAAGCTACACTTAAAATATCAGGTACTAACTGGTATTTAAACTTTGGGAAAATAACGGGATCGAAGTCCTTTTATACAGCCTGGAGCTTTGGAGTTGTTATATTAAGAATCTTTGATAGAGCCTCTTATAATAATTTCGTTGGTAGGAATCAAGATTCCAGTCGATAAGAAGATGCTGGCGAATAAAAATTGCTCAGGTTTGTCCACATCATTAAATTCAAGTTTTTTTTGCGCCAAATATATAATTTCACCATGCTGCGTTACCATTGTCTTCTTTACCATCCATATATATTAAAGTCATTGTCAACAGGAGACAAAGAGGGGCGAAAAGTGGTGGAACAGTTCAATTTATTACGTAGTATTTGATAGAAAAAATAGTTTACTGATGATCTCAAGCGGTCAATAAAAACGATAATTCGCTCTTTCTAGAACCGTGTATTTACAGTTTTATTTGCATTGTGAAACACACGCCGAAACAGATGTATTGTACCAAAGCAGTGTCGTTGGATGAAGTGAAAAATGGCTGCATTACTTTTGATGATAAATTTGAAATGTAAGACTCAAATATATTTAAGAATTAAACAAAATCACAAATACCTCTTTTTAATGAATTGAGGGTTTGGAGTAAAGAAAATTTGGAATTTAAAACTTTCACTTTTTTAGAAAAAACGTCAAACCATCTTTTACGTTGGATATTCACGTATTTATCCTTGTAAGTTGCGAGTTTTCTTTTATTAAATGTTTTGGCAAAAATGTAAATTTGTACCTCATATTAAATCATGAAGATATTTTTATAGAAAACACAATTGCCGGCTGTTACTCCACAGAATAAGACTAGGAAGAAGAGTGTGATTACAAAGGTACAGTATATATAAATACAAAGTTTTAAGTTGCGTATCTCGTTGCCATTTTATCTTAAGACTAAATATTTTAAGCAAACGTCTAGCATATAGTCTGTGAAGATACGATGCTCTGGAAGCCTGGCAAACTTCAAGGCTACAATCATAGACAATCCAGAAGACATTTTGAAAATTTTGAATTTTTGTTTAAATGAGCCCGCAAGATCTGCAGCTGACCGCATCACGGATGGCGCGCGTAAAACATTAGGCGTTTCCAGTCCCTGTCATGTCCCTGTCTTCTGGATTGTCTATGCTAGCTACAATATAGAAGACCTTTGTTTGATGTTGAACTGTATCTCACCATGCACAAATCTTTGTCTCAATTTCATTAAATGAATTGATCGTGGTTGCAATTTTGACACTAAGATTATTAAAATTGGTCTAGTACAACCATTATTTATATGGCTGTTTAAAATATTAACAAAGTCTGGTTCACAAAATGGACAATTGACATTATTCATTAGTTGTGTACTAGTCCAATTTTAACAATCCTAGCGGTCAAAATCTTCTGCCCTGTTTATCTTCAATTTGATTAATTTTAACGATATCCTATAATGAACTACTAACTAATTTTAACACTAACCACTTATAATTTAATATATCACTAACCGTTTCAATAAATGAAAATGATTTTAAATTTAGTCACATTAATTTTTTTCGTCTTAATTAAACTTGTGCTGAATAATCCAATTGAGCCTTGAATACAATATATAACGATCTCTACCAATATGGACTAACAACTAACAAAACTTTTCATGGAACAATGTTTTTTTTAATGAATCGTTGTTTGGTATTTTCATGCAGTCAGTTTTAGATTCGCCGAAAATTAAACAATTCCTCAACAGTACGGTATGTGATATTCAGATGAAATATATTAATAAACTCCACTTATAAAACGATATAAAACCTGTGTTGTAGGTAACGTTCACCATGCAGGTGTAAATTTTCGTTTAAAATAATTTTCTAGATTAAATTTATATGTAAATTTTATATTGCACTGATTTGGATCTAAGCTTACGGAATAAACGTTTTGCGCAGTACTATTACTTGACAAATGAATAGTGTTTTCTACAATAATAAAATGTTATATTTATTGTCATTGAAACTTACAAATGACTTCTACATATAGTTTTTTGTATGTTGCAGAAAAAAGGCAGTGATGGTACCACGCAAGGTAACGATTAATGCATTCCCCCCTTGGCCTTGTTTTCCACTTACCTGAAGAAGTGATTAGATATTCAATAACTTTTACCTGTTTTACCATTCTTTGCTAATTTTCTCGTACATTCTACTGATTTAAACTAATTTGTTAATTTCATACAGCAGTAACACCAGGATCAACACACGGTCCTGTGTTTCGAACAAGTGGCTTTGCACTCGCTTCTACAACTCATATTAACTTGGAAAATATTTACAGTCAAAAACATCAAATGCATCAGGTATTTTTTTCTGAATCTTGTCGAATGTGGAAACAGCCCGATATACTGTATGCACTAATCGAAATATTTTCCAGTTTGAAGAGAGATCTGCGCTGACTGGGGATATCCAAATAGAAATTCAATGTAAACCGGAATACACGAATCAAGCAAAAGGCTTCCTAGTAAGTTTAATTCGTCGTATTAAGCTAGATACACCACTAATTCACTAATCGGGCTGATACTTAATCCCTAGTTTCTGTACTCTGCATTAGTACAAGAGTTTTGGTCTAATACCGTTTTTTCGGAAGCCGTATTGAGTTTTAGAAAGAGAGAACACAAACGACAATTTTGTTATTGTTCCCTGTATGTTGTAAATTGTAATCCTCTCTTGGGAACCCAAATTCTCAGAAAGAAAAAGCATTTTGCACCTTTGTACAGTGAAGGAATAATTCAACATTATGCTTTTTTTAGACGATATTTGAAGATGTTGGTGGTCTGGGTGATTGGCTAAGATACTGGTGTATACTTGATGGCAACGTGTTGAATTACTGGAAATATCCGGATGATGATCTTATCAAGGTAACCATGCAGTTACATGTCGTGCATGTAACGAAAACTCGACTCAGTTTTAATGGTTTGATATTTTTCAGCCACCACTTGGATCAGTTAACCTCAGTCACTGCATCAGCGAGTCTGTGACGATAGTCCCCAGGGATATCTGTGCTCGGCCACACACGATGCAGCTTGTGTTAGAGAAACCGCAGACATCTTCTGACCGAGAGACTCTGATCGCCGTGAATGCAGGAGGAAAGATGCTTATAAAGTAAGATATCAACATTTTGCGCATCTCGATAGAACTGAATGAATATGGGATTTTTGTAGATTATATAAATTTTCGTTCGAAAATCCCAGCTACAAAAATTCTATATGAAGTAAGATACACTTTTTAGCATAATAACAAAACATTTCTAAAGTGCATCAAAACATCATTTATCTTTTTTCTTTTAATGTTTGAAAATAAATCATTAATGGTACAATGCGCACACATGCGCAATTCAATTAATTTTCAGAATAATTGGGTGGAGTTTCGTAAATTTTCCAATAAATCCATAGTAGCCCCGCAACAATCAGTGGTATTAATTCATATTTATGTTCGAAAAAATATACTACTACTCAGTCCCCGACTGCATTGAAGGCAAATTCAAACGAAAAATTGATTGTATATACCAACGGTTTTCAACTTGGGGGACATGTCCCCGAGAGGGGGGCAAATTCCTAGGGGACACAAACTGGTCTAGGACTGAGAAAACAATAGTTGAATACAATAGTTGAATACAATAGTTTGTACTATAAACATGTTTCCTTGAATCATTTACTATTTTACTAACTATTTCGAAATTCGTGTTTTTGATAGACTTCAGTGGGCAATTTCTGTTCAGGGGACGTGGTAATTCAATCATGTGAAATCGGGGACACATGAGAAAACCAGTTGAAAACCGTTGGTATATACAGTCAAAATATCCAGGATTTGTAAATCGTTTCGCTTACATTTTAAATAGCTAACGAACTGGAATAAATTATACGCTTTCTCGAAGTTATACTGTACATATTATACCGCATAATTTTACAAAATGCATAAGGAAAAATTGTTGGACATGCATTAATTGTAAAATCACAATATCATTTTCTTCCAGGTACATGCTATCTGCTGACACAAAAGCTGATAAAGAAACATGGCTGAACACCATTAATGACTCACTCAAAGATTGGAGAGCGTGGCATCATAATCTGGTACAGAAAGTAAAACAGAGATCACAGTCTGTCGAATCAGACGTCATTATGCTGTAAGAAGGCAGGTCCAATTCTGTAAATTTCTTTGGGGCTGGGTCTAGCGGTGGCATAATATTAATAGTCGAACGAATGTAATGGTATAGCTAAATTATCCGGCACATATATTGCCATCTTGGTCTCAAAAAGTGAACAACTTTGAAGGAACTTTTGGTGATGAGAACGAATTTTGAATCCTGTATGTTGGGAAAATGCAAATATAATCGAAATATATATACAGTATATAAACATTGCACAAATGCTATGCCAATAAAGTAGTAAAGCTTGAATTTGCTGACTTGGAAAATGTTTTTGAAATCTAAACCTTTTCCAAAGCATGCACAAAATAGTTCCGCGTTTCGTATTATATAGTATAATGTAATTGAAGAATGGATCAAAGTGAACACAACACTACCAACCTAAGAAAGTTTATATTCGAATAATTAATACTTCAGTTTAGGTTCATATTAAACGTAAAACAGGTTTAATTTTGTAAACATATAAATAACATGAATAAACGAACGCACAGTAGCTGTGTACGGTATTACAAAATATATTTTTATACAAAATAAATCTACTACATATGTTCTAATTATTAATTCAATACAACAAATTAGTAATAGTTTAGGATGTTTATAAAAATGGCAATGCTACACGATACACCAGGCCATTTTTACCTCAACTTGCAATCATGCAATTTCTGACCTAGAGCCATGTTATCTAAATTGTAGTTAAATGAGTATGTTATGTAAAGAAAGTGGTCGGCAGAGTAGAATGCCGACCATCATGCTCACATTTTACTGTTTAGATAACATGGTTCTGATATCCGAAATTGCGTTAAAACTTGCAGAAAAAACTGTCTCGTGCAGCATGGCCTTAATTATTGTTTCTTTACCAAATGCTTTGTGCCCCTAGTTTTGGCACAAAAATTTTTCATGACTTCCTCAGTCCGGCACAGGTAAGGTAATGTTGTCAATTAACTGTCGTGCCTGAACTACCTGAGAAATTAAAAACACTTCCGACAGTTTGGAACTTTGCATCCACTGCTACTAAATCCTTTGCTCGAAACGTCTAGCGGTTTTTAAACTTTTTTCATGCAGATAGTTTTATACTTTTGAAATCATGCGATACAGTACTGTGCCAGGGTGTCTTGCCAATGAAAACTGTGGAATGGTGGGTGGCTTCGATAAAATGAATCGGTCTATAAGCTTTCTTGACAAACTTTGGAATTGGAAATTCATAAACTTTGGAAACTATACAGATCTCCAGTCCAAGACAGAATGTCAAACTGTATCAAACTTTACAAATCATAATGTATTTACTATTATGGAAAACTTAAGTCAGTTATGCAGTCTAAGCATTTTCATACAAGTTTTCTGTACTACGAGTGACTTGATGTAACCTTGGTGGTGGTTGGTTAGGTGCGTCGGGTAAGGTGGATACATTCTCTTGACCAGCTTCATAACTGACTATACATGGCTTCCATTCCTCGCCAGCCAGTGCTGCACCCAGATATATGATACTCGATATGCACAGACATGCTCCACCAAGGAGAGTTGACAGAAGAAATCCACAGGGAATTGAAAGACTGAAAATATTAAATGTCCTATTAGTACCATATTTACAGGTCATTCCAAAAAACATCCATACCTCCCCCACAGAGGAAATTGGAAGTTAACCCTTCAGACAGCAGAAATTTCCTCTGTGGGGGGAGTGTGGATCTTTTTTCTGAAACAATTCGATTTAATTAATGAAATTAGGAAATTCAGTTTTGCCCGGGGACATTACATTCTTGTGGCTTAGCTGTGCAAGTTCACTGAAAATGTTTTGTCCACCAAAAACATATAAATATATTTTTGTACTTGACCTATTTACTAAAAAACAGATAAATATATTTTTGGACTTTATAACACTCCTTGTTTAAGCTCCCAATTCAGACCACCAATATTTTATCACAATAAAACCTTACCCAAGATAAAAAACAAATCTGACATAATAGTTCCTCCCAAATGGTCCAAGACTTTGAACTACTGGAGTTAAGAGTCTCTGAGCACTGGATAAAAAAATGCAATTTAAAAAGGTTAATAGTGGGATGAAATTAATGATCTTTCATTTAAATTAACCAATTGAGTTGCATTATTTTATTATTTTACTCTGCCTAATGCCAGATTATTTTACTCTGTTTAACACCAGACAATTTTACTTGTCAAAGTGAGAGTGCTGGCACTCAATGGGTTAATGTTTAATCAGTACATGAACTTTATATTATTTTTTCCTAATGAGAATCACCAGCCTCTGTGGAAAGAGAGTGAATAAAAATAGAATTCTGGTTGCTGCTGTGTTTGTTTTTTTTTAATCAGTTCTGGTACACCCCTATTTGCACAAATATGACGAGCTGGTGACTCCAACATATACATGCATCTATGTTTCTCTATCTTACATTCGTTCTTTTGTTCTTCCCTTTTGTCTTTTTCCTCTCGGATATTCAATGAGAAATATCAGAATGCCAGCAACTCTTATGAATGTCAAAGAATGTAATGACGAGACAAAGAATACCGGTGATCGTTTGCCCATAATTTTAGTATGTTAGCAACATATTGCAGTTCATTAGAAGCTTTAATTAGTGGTTAATTATTAATTAATTTGTTAATTATTCTATACCAGGATAATCAAGTATAATGTATAAAGCATATTCTTTAATAGTAATTATCGAGGTCAATTATTAATTTGTTGGTTAATATAGACTTTGAATTAATAGGATACACAGCATAGATTGCTATCTGCCATCTCTTAAATTTGCCAATCCAACTCAGAACTCCGCCAATAAACACAACTACAAAAAATACAAAACACGATATATGCACGAAATGAATCGACCTTCGAAAATCTTTGAACATTTTATACAGCCCTATATTATAAATCAACCGTCACTATTGTACGTCAGTCAGTTCAATTTCTTACCAATGCTGCTTGCAACAGCTTGTTCGTTTGCCCACATTGCCCATTCAGTCTTTCCCATTTTATTTTGTACAAAAACACAACAGAAATCTTTCAAACTCTTCTACAAACAATTTATACACTTTGACACTTCACCAACTTCCGGCCACTTTGTTTACCAATGGACTTCTGCATAATGACGTCACATGGCTTGATGCCCGTGAGGAATGCTGGTTTTGTTAGTAAATTTCCCATAGAAATATTTAATAGACCATGTCCTCTGGACCATGTCTATTATTTCTATGAAATTTCCAGAGAATTTCTAAAAACCAACGCAGAGCAATTTCTGAGAAATTTAGAAAAAAATGTTTTCCAAGTGGCAGCTGCGGTAACGGCGTGGTTACCCAGCATACAATATGGCCGACGAAGATGGTGAAATAACGCCAGAAGAAGATTTAATATTACAGCGTCAAAAGAGAGAACGGAAAGAATTACAAGGTAATAGTGCTTATATTTGTATAATAACAGTATTGGACTAACAGTATATGTAGAAAAATGTTAAGTATAGCTATTTAAACGGTTGAAAATTGAAATTAAAAACTCATTTTTGAGTACCCTGTTTCCAGAATCCAGAGCCTCTGGACCAGACTCCAGAGGCATTTTTGCGAGGCGAAAGAAACGAGAGACGAGAAGGAAGAGCCTCTGGTCACACGAGGGTCTTCGTGGAGGTTTTGTGTCAGCTAAAATTTAAGCCAGTTGTCAGTGGTCAGTGCAATATATTGCAAGCTGTCAGTAGTTACTAGTTAGTTACTGCAAAATGCTGACTCATCATTTCTCAGTTGTCAGTCAAAAATTCAGGCAAATGTCAGTATAGTCAGTTACCCCATTCAGACCCTCTCACATGCATTGGTTGAAAATCCCACTTCTACACTTGATTAGGTTCAGAATTTGAATCTTGCACATGATTGGCCATTTGTAAAAATATGTCAAACAGTCAAACCGGTTTGGGAAATAAATATTACTGTAAGCTAATTATAGCTATTTCCCAAACCGGTTCGACATATTTTTACAAATGGCCAATCACATTGCGAGATTCAAATTCTGAACCTAATTTGCAACCGATCATTCTCATACCCAGAGCCCTTCTTACGTGCTGTGCGACGAGGGACTCTGGCCAAATCCATATTCCGAACTGGCATCTGATTGGCTAGTTCTAACACTGGACATTGTTTTCTTACCATGTTTTTATGGTATCTGGTTATGGATTTGGCCAGAACCCCTCATCACACCACGCGTAAGAAGGGCTCTGGGTACAAGAATGGCAGCCACTGCTCTTTGTTCTAGCCTTTCGTTTCTTTCACCTCGCAAAGATTTCGCCTCACAAAGAGCCTCTGGAACCAGGATAATTTTTAAGTGGTTTTCAGATAAATTTTAATTTTGACTCAAAATTTGACTTGGCAGATTTTGAGTCATATTTTGACTCAGAAAATTTTGAGACATGCATGTGAGGTTTAATGCAAATGCAAATGCCACCACAGCTGGCAACATGAATGCAAAAGTTTTACTGGAAATTTGCAATCTCTGAGACTCTGGCCGAAATTTTGATTTGAATTTATATCTTCCAGCAAAAGTTCAATCATTAAAACATAGTGTACCAAAAGGTGATAAAAAGAAGAAAAAAGAAATCACTGCTGAAATTGCTTTGCTTGAGGCCAAACTTGAGGAGAAACACAACAAAGAAAATAATGAAAGTGGTCAAAACTGTAAAAAGGTACGTAAAGAACTAAATTAGAACTTTATCATATCCAATGAACTAATGAAGATATATCCCTGGTGTGTCCCTGACTGGAAAGTTTGGAAATTGCATGTCCGAGATCACAAAAATTTAATAGTAAATACATTGGGAACATCAAAACTGTGCACCTAAGACAAGCTTTTTTATTAGTATTTTATTAGCAAAAGTGCTACACTCATTGCTCACGTTCATCTGCATTGTCTTTGCCTCATCCTAGGTAGATAATGATGCTGGTTCAGAATTACTACCACAAATAAACATTTTAGATATAAACGTACCAGAAGAGAAAAAGGTTACTAGAGCTCAAAAAAGACGGGTAATTATTATGTGAGAATTATTATGTGTAAATTATGTGAGAAGAAGTTATCAGATAAATATTGTTTTGTCTTCATAGGATAAGAAAGCTGCACAGGAAAAGGAGAGGCAAAAAAGAATTGAAAAAGCTGAAGTGGAAAATATTCATTCAGCAAGAAATGTAGAACAAGAAAAATTAAAATCAACGTTGACTCCAATGGGACTGATTATTAAAGAGGTCATGATATGGTTTTTCAGATAAAGGATCATAATGTTTTCAAAAAGCAAATCTATTACACTGTAGTTATATGCAAGGGTAGAAGGAATTATGGATAAATTATGATATAATTTAATGATTATTAACACATTGAGCGCCAGCAGCACTCTCTCCTTGACAAGTAAAATTATCTGGTGTTAGACGGAGAAGATAATAAAGTTGGGTGCATCCAGGCATGATGCATGGGCAGATATAGTATGATTAATTCATCCATTGAGCCGCAATGTGCCCCAGTCCACCCTACTTTTTTTTTACTTGTCAAAGCCATCTGGACAATTTTACTCATCAATGGGGAAGCTATGCAGCTTAATGGGGTTAACCCTAGGTGGAAATGCACCCTGATGCACCCTACTTTAGTATTTTACTCTGTCTAACACCAGGCGATTTTACTCGTGAAGTGGAGAGCACTGCCACTCAATGGGTTAAATTAATTAACCAAAAAATCTGAAAATGTCTCTAGTTAACCCATTGAGCCGCAATGCGCCACAGTGTGCCCTGCTTATTTTTTTTTACTTTTCTAATGCCAGACGATTTTACTCGTCAATGGGGAAGCTTAATTAATCCGTACTTTTGTAAACAATCTTTTGTAGAATTAACATCACTTGATTACTAATATCATTGCTGTTGTACTTTTCTTGCAGGTTGCACCAGATGGCCATTGGTATGTATAAATTAAGTGAAATCAATATAAAATTTAAACAAATGTTACTGTAAGGACGTAAATGTGAATGTCAGTTGTTGTTGAAGTATAGCCTTTATATTGATATAATTTTCTTGTTTTTTTGGGGTTTTTTATCAGCCTGTATAATGCCATTGCTGATCAGCTGCAAAGACAAAATATTCAGGTATCATATTTTTTACATATATCAAAGAAAATTAAATATATTAACCTATTTTACTCAGTCTTAACACCAGACAATTATACTCATCAAAGCTCTGTAGATTAAAAATACTGTATCGCTAGCATTATGTTATGATGACTTATTATTTTGCCATGTACTGTAGCACACTTACCAAAGTTTGCGAGAACTGGCAGCAAGATACATGTGTGACCATCAAGTTGACTTTCTTCCTTTCTTGATTGATCAACAAACCGGAGACTGTTACACACCTGGTAAGTCATCCTACAATACTTGCATGCATTTGTTTTTCTTTTGAAATTAATTTCAACCAAGATATTAGCCTGGTAATGCTGAATGCATAATATATATATATATATATATATATATATATATATATATATATATATATATATATATATATATATAATATGAAAAATTGTGGTAGCTAGTTTTCAAATTGGTCAATGTTTCATAAGTACACGTAACTGGTCGGGCTAGTACTGCTAGCGCTTCACGTTTTAGGTGTACTTTTCATGAGCTATACTTCGTCTCGAACATCAGGCAAAACATATTAAAAAGTATAAATACTTAAAATCATTTGTTTATCTCTTGCAGAGGCTTTTTCCCAGTATTGTCAAGAACTCTGTGAAACTGCTGTCTGGGGTGGACAATTAGAGGTTGGTTTAGATTTTATTATAATTACAATAATTACATAATATACAAAAGATCTGTGTACATAAATGCATACCCAATATTTTCTTATAATTCATCTAATGTAATTTTCAAATCCAATTGTCCAATGACCCTAGATTCAAGCAATGTCAAGTGCTCTCCAAATACCTGTAAGGATTTTTCAAGCTGTTGGACCGACAATAGAAATTGGACAACAATATAATAATCAAGAAATATTATTATCGTAAGTAAATTTATGCTTGCTACATGTACCTGTCACACTCTCGATTGTGTAGCTTGCCAAGGCACTTGGTGGTACACTTTGGTTTTTATATATATGTTGCCCAAAATACTCATCATCAGAAAGTTTGATGTGGGTTGGGGCTCTTTATGAATTTTCAAAACATTTCCTGTGGTCCCCCTTTGCTAAGCCTAGGGTACTCTGTGGTCCTCCCTTTCCATTTGACCAAAATTTTCAAAACATGTTTTTATCAGGTTTTCGACAATTATCAGAAAACCTTTACTTTCATCAAAACAATGATTTCCAAGTCTTAAAGTCCTGGAGTGTAAGTCCCTTCATTGGCCCTCCGAGTCATTTTTCAAAAATTTAAATTGTGGCTCAAAATGCTCTCAAAATTGTCGAATTCTTTGGTTAAAACAGTGATTTAATAACTTAATCTTCCGTTGTACTTTGCAGTGTCAGAATAAATGTGAAACTAGTTTATACTGTAGTCTAAGCTTATGATTTTGCTGTTTTATAGATTTCATCATCACGCGTATGGTCTGGGGAAACATTATAACTCTGTGATAAGAATTGGCGATGAACTATAGAGAAAATGCTGTATAAATTTTTTTCTCGTTTGCACGAGAGTTATCATGCATGAACTTATTTATTTATCATACTAGGGTATAGTTAGTTATTCTTTTGAAAATATTTTAATTTATAAGATTACCATTAGAAACCTTTTAAAATATAGGAAAAATTGAAACTTACCTAAATATTAAAAAAAATATTAAGATTTTATTATAGGCTAACTGTATAGTATAAATATTTTGTATTATTTAGATAACATCGCACCATTGTTTTACTTAGTTTTATTTAACTTTTGTGTACTGTATTTCATCATTTCATGTATTTTTTCCATTTTTGAAAAAGGGGGGGGGGGGGAAATGGGGGCCCAACCACTTAATTAACTTTTTTTCAGTTTTAAAAAGACGCAAAAAATAGCGGCAAAAAATTCCTCCAACTCTGAACGTTGCCTGAGGCAACTTGCCTCACTCTTACGCCCGTATTCTAAAAGCTCACTCACACTCAATGATGGAAGTTCAATCTGAGTTTCTTTTGAGTGTCAATGCTGTTTTTGAATAGCTGGAGGGTTGAGTAGTCGCATAGTAAGTACGACACTAACCCTCCAGCTAATCAAAAACAGCATTGACACTGCAGGGAAGCTCAGATTGAACCTCCACTCATTGAGTGTGAGTGAGCTTTTAGAATACAGGCGTTAGAGTTGCTTCACCCTAAGAGTTGCCAAAAAGAGGTGAAAAATTAATGGGTTGGCCTTACTTTTTTCCATTTTTACTCTTAGTCTTAGAATGAAAAACGGCTAAAATACATGAACGAAAAGTTAAGGGGTTAGCCTTACTTTTTTGCTAATTTACCCCCTTAATTTTCCCAATTTATTTATTTATTGTTTTTTATAGTTTATTCAAATTTAGTCAGCCTTACTTTATGCCATATTTTGCCCCTCTTTCAAAAGTGAAAAAAGGGCTAAAAATGGACGAAAAGTTAAGGGGTAAGCAATAATATAGACCATTTCTCAATTAGGTTTCACACTGACCACAGACACTAACGTTTTTGAGTGCTGATAACCACTGAATCTCAACCTGATGTTTAATCACTAGCGTAATTCGGAAACGGTCTATTAGTTTTTGCTCTTAATTATTAATTCAGGTCTCCACTGTACATTGCTTGATAAAAACTTATTTTTATACTTAGTTTGGTTTAATTATATGTTAATACAATACTATATTATATTAATAAATACATGAAACGAAGGCTTGAGTTCTGACTCCTGACGTATTTTTTTAATTAAAGATGCGGTACAGTCCGTATGTAAACAAAGGCTTTGTTTACATTTCGGTATCCAAAATATTGAATTTTATTCCACAACTATTTATATTTTCATAATTCTAGAGTATAATAAATTGTCAAGAGACAACAATCAAGCTTTGCAAGAACATAAAATGAAATAAAAACCTAAAGAAACTGTTTGTAAATAAAAAGAGGGCTCCTTTGTGCACATGCGCAGATCGGATTGTACCGCATCTTTATTAACAAACCGATATTTTAAGATAACTTCTTTTCAAGGTTTTTTTTCAGTCCATCCTTTGACAGTTGAAAAAATCACTAAAAACACGAGTACGAGTTAAGAATATACTCTGAAACAACAAAAGACGTTCATGGCATTTTCAGTGCGTGTCATAAGTTAATGAAGTTATAGCATTCCCCCGAATGGCACTCCCCATTCCCTTTCCCCGTTCCCTATTTTAAGCTCGGAATTTGTCGACTTGTATCGCGCAGTGCCGAGATCCCGACGGAGTGCCGGGAATTTCCGAATTTCAATTTTTACCGCGTGGCGAAGAATGGAGAAGGGTCGGCACTAGATCATAGACAAGATACGCACATATCTGAAACTGCAATACATACGAGTCAGCGGTATTTCAAGAGCAGTAAACTTTATATAAACGCAATAAAGACATCATTATTACAAATGATGCATTACAAATAAACAAATCATTACA